TTGTCCTAGACAGGATAATATCATAGACATATATATTTACCTCAATAGTTACTTATATGATTAAATAGAAGAAGGTTAAATAGAATAATTTCATAAAGTCTTTTAGAAAAGCTTCTTAGAAGCTTCATAGACACGATTTTGACTTAAGATGTGTTCGTAGGTTAGAAACTTGGCTAAAAAGCTAACCATGTATTGATAGCTTGTGGAACTAGTTACCTTCGTATAGTAGCTTGTAGAACAAGTCAACTATGTAGTGCATACATAGATAACTTGCCTTGTAAGATAAGACATGTGGCTACCAAAGTCAACACATGTTGGAGGTCCTACAAGACATCGCCACGTGACTCTTAGTTAGATAGTATATATGGAGGCAAGAGTGAAGCCTTCTTCACTCTTATCAACGCCTTTCTAGTCTTAGTCTTATTTCAAGACTTTCTAGTCTTTTTGTTTTTGGCAATAGCCATTATAAATAATATTACATCACCTTTTGAGTGACTTTCTAGTTCTTTTCAGTGATAGAAGAATGTATTGAGGATTTCTTTTCTTTGAGATTCATGTCCTTGATAGCTATCGAGATGTACGTATTAATGGTTATCACTTCTTGACTGCCATTTTAAATAGAAAAGAGGTTTTGGTTCTTGTGAAGAACCATAAAGTTGTTGAAAAAGCTTTTGCTACAGAAAATAATTTATACTGAATTGTGATTCGGCCTCCCATTATATTTAATTTTGCATCATCTATCATAAAGAGTCATGTTTCTCTCTAGCATGGATGATTGGGACATCCAAGATCTACATTATTTAGAAAGATCATTCTATATACAACTAGGCACAATTTAAAGCCTGCGGATGTAGACTCTATGGAATTATGTCATGAATGCGTACAAGGTAAGATGATTACTCGGCCTTCAATTTGGAAACTCCTACAAGAATTACTACCAATGCTTGAAAGTATTTTTCTGATTATTTTATAAAAACATTGCACATGGATAATACAAAAGCATTTGCATCAATGTCTTTTGAAGATTATTGTACTGCAACAGAAATTGAGTTGACATATTGTTTTCCATATGAACATGCTCAAAATGGACTTGCAAAGTCATTTATAAAGTATATATAACTCATTACCCAGCCATTCCTCCTTCATACAAATTTATCTGCATCTATGTGGGGTCATGCAATTTTATATGCTACAGTATTAATACACCTCCACCCTTCTTCTCTTGAAACTGTTTCACCACATGAACTCATATCAGGTTGTGTTCTAAATGTATCTCACTTATGAATATTTGGTTGCCATGCTTGGATTCTAGTACCAGAACCTCAACAGCGTATCATTGGAGGTCATCAACAAGAAGGCATATACATTGGTTTTGATTCACTAAGCATTATTCGTATTATTGATCCATCAACCGGCACATTATTACATGCACGTTTGCAAAATTGTTGTTTTGAAGAGAATGTATTCTCATCTCTTCAAGGAGGAGTATCCAATCAACAAAGAAATAAAGTACTTGTATTTGAATTACTAGAAATATTTACAATGAATCCCGATACTATGACATCTTTGGCATAAACTGAAGTTGCTAAGATTTTACATCTAAAATGGATTGCAGATGAAACACTTGATGGCTTCAATGATGCACCTAGAATTACAAGACTTTCTATTAATGAGGCTCAGAATGCACCTACTCAAATTGCAATGCCATTGATTATAATACCTCAAGTTATAACAACAATAATTAAAAACACTTGTGGACTAAATAAGCAACCACGTAAGAAGAAAACTATAATATTGACTAATCCTGATATTATTTCTCAAGAAATTGCGACTCATCTTGTGAGACTACTGATTCATGATGATATATCCATGCATAATATACCTTCAATTCCTATGAAAAACAATCTTAGAATTGGAAGGAATAAGAACAAGTTGAGTAAAGAATTATCTATTTTGTATTATACTACAGTTGATATTTGACACAGACCATCTATTATGGTAGATAAATCATTTGCATATATGATTATAGAAGCCCTTTCTTGCGAGGAAGACGATCCTGAACCTTAAACCATCAAGGAGGCAATACATCGCTCTGATTGGTCAAAATAGAAAACTGCTATTGAAGAGGAGTATGCCTCTTTCCATAAGAAAAAAGTCTTTGGTCCAATTGTAGACACTCTTACATCTCACCCTATGGGATATAAGATGGTATTAATATGCAAGCGAGATGCTCAAGGCCAAATAATCCACTATAAAGCTCGTCTTATTGTTCAAGGATTTACTCAACGATTTAGCATTGATTATGAATCTACATATTCTCCAATCATGGATTCAATTACATTTCGATATATTATTCGAATGACAGTTCATGCTATCCTTGAGATGCATCTGATGGATGTAGTAACTGCATATCTATATGGTTCTCTTGATGCAAGTATTTATGTGAAAGTTCCACCTAGCTTAGAAACAGGAACTCCAAATGGACCCACTTTAGGACAATATCATGGTATTAAATTATGTAAGGCCTTATATGGTTTAAAAAAATCCAGATGCATGTGATATCAACATCTTCAAGTTTATTTAATTACAAATAAATTTGTAAGTGATCCACTAATCCCTTATTTATTTATCAAACGAGATAAAACTGGTTTTGTAATCATCGTTGTATATGTTGATGATCTTAACCTAATGGGCGCTACATCTACATGTGTTACAGTTATTAACCTACTTATACGTGAATTTGAGATGAAAATGCTAGGAAAAATAACTTTCTACATTTCTCTTTAGATTATGCATCTAACAGATGGTAGCATTTTTTTCCACCAACTAACATATATTAGACAAATCTTGTAAAGATTTAATATGATTGATGCTTATCCATTGTCCATACTAATGGTTGGACGTGGTCATGATGGTCATGATCCATACCGTCCATACAAAGAGGAGAAGGAAATATTGGGAGATCAATATCCATACCTCGAAGCGCTTGGAACACTTTTATATTTAGCTACATCTACAAGACTAGATATTGCATTTGCAGTTAGTGTTCTTGCAAGACATAGTGCACGTCCAACACTACAACATTGGAATGGCATTAAACATTTATTACGTTATTTAAAAAGTATTGAAGTCTTGAGATTACACTACACACAATCTATAGATCCAAAATTGATTGGATATTGTAATGCAAGATATAAATTTGATATTGCAGCAGCTAAATCTCAAACATGATATGTATTTTTAAGACATAGCACTACAATATCATGGAAATTAGTGAAACAAACAATAACTACAACTTCATCCAACTATGCAGAAATTATTACCTTATATGAAGCATCTTAAGAATGTATTTGATTGCAATCAATTGATAAATTCATTTAAATAACTTGTGGATTTTCATATGATGATTCTCCAACTATCTTGCATGAAGATAATAGTGCTTGTATTGTACAGATGCAAGTTGGTTTCATTAAAGGTGACAGGCCAAATCATGTTGATCCAAACTATTTTAGTTATATCCATGACTTGATTATTGATCAAGCACTTATAATTAAAAAAATTAAATCTACAAATAACCTTGTTGATCTCTTCACCAAAGCTCTCCTATTGTGCAACCATTGTCAACTTACTTATAGTATTGGTATGCGGCGACTTGCTTTTCTTGAATAAGAAAGTTAATGAACTCTTTAAATAATTAAAGAATATGATGTTGTACTCTTTTTCTTTCATCTATGGTTTTGTCCTTAAATACAGTAAGGTTTTCTTAGATAAGGTTTTAATGAGGCAACAATTGTTGATCTTCCAAGATCACAAAAAAGTATAGATCAAAATTCTATACAAATTTTATATTATGTAAATATTATGATGAGCGAGGAGGAGTATTGATAGCATTAAATGTAGCCGGCCCTCTCCATAATATTTATTGTAGACTATAGTAAATATTGTAGCTATAGTATTTACAGTCTAGTAGAGAAAAGCTATTTATCCTCTCCCCTTCCTCTTCTTGTATACGAGACACAACAAGATCAATAATATTTTATTAGTTGAGCTCTCTCTCTTTCAAAACCGTCTTGTGTATATGATTTATTCCTACTCTTGTGTGTGTGTGTGTTACTTACTACTACTCTTGTGTCTTTCTAAACATTCTCAACAATTAAAACATGTTCTTAAAATATAAAAATTTTCCAATGAAATATTTGTTAGAGAAGTTTAGGTTTGTAAGATTTAAATGTTTTCAGAATATAAATGTTCTCTAAATTTTTCAAAAAAAATAATTTGGAACAAACAAATCTAACTTAATTAAAATTCTTCAAAAAACATTTCACCCGAAAATATTAATATTACAAGAACACGTAATGATGACGAACTGTGCTTATTGCTGAAGTAATGGAACAGACAACGACCTTTTCAGACATGTCAAACAATGCTTCAGTATGGTTACCGGCCCCACCTCCACCCAAAAGTCCCAAACCCATTAATAAGCAGAATCTACTGATTGACAGGAAGGAAGGAAGGAAGGAAGGGGGAAGCCGCGTGGCGCTGAACACCGTGAGAGTGAGAGACGTTCCGTGTCCAGAGCAGAGTAGCAGCCCATCCATCCTGGACCCTCTCCTCGCCACAACTAACTGTGTTGCTCTTGCTCGATCCCCTCTGCCCACTTCGATCCTCGTCCGCGTCATCGTGTGCCTCGTCTTGCTGGTATGCTCTGTTCCCTCCCTGCTGGATCTGCAGCGTTTCGTTTGTGTTTCGTTTGGTTGTTTGTGCTCGTCGTGTTGATGTCTGTGGTGGGAGAGGCATGTTTCGTCGACGATTCGGAGGGTTTGGTGGTGGAGTTGGGCTTGAGGGGCGGGATGGGGTCGGGCACCGTGGGCAGGAGGCATTCCTTTGCTGCAGATCTGCATCCGTGGCGGTGTCTCGGGTGCAGCGCGATCGCCGGTGCTCGCGTTGTGCGTTTTCCACACTTAGGGTTGGACGGGGGTGGGGGTGGGGGGTACTGGTAGGGGTTGAGCATGTGGTGTTTGGATGTCGGGGTTGCTATTTGGCGCAAGAACCGTGGTGAGGCGTTCATCACCGCAGTGTGTCGGCAGAGCAAGGGTATTCTTAGCTGCATTTTGGTGCTGCGGTTCCGGCTACAGAGGCTTGGCTGCACAGAAGGTTGTTAGGGGGGCCTTGGAAGTCGTGGTCTTGGAAGATGCCAAGGCAACCACAGGAGTGGAGAGACTTTCCCAGTGGTTGATTTTCATGCTGCGGATGGGTAGGATTGAGGTGCGATTTTTCTGTTGGGTAGCTCAAAGAAGGCGTGCGTGCCTAGCAGCCGAACCGGGCTGCGCAGGAACCGTGCATGCACGCGCGAACTGGCGAGCAGTGGTCGGCGTGTGAAGCAATTGTTCAGGATGGTGGAGGACAGGTGAATGAAGGAGGGAGTGTCGTGCTGGGCAGGGCGTTTGCGGGCTGTTGACGTCTGCGTTGGGTATTTGAGAAGGTCATTGGGGGACTGTGCGGAGTGCAATGCTGGTAGGGGTTGGTAGCTGAAGTGAAGTGGTTCTGGGAGTGGCCGCGAGTACGGTGGGTGGTAGGTCCGCAGCACGTAGGAGACGGAATCCACGCGTCCGATGATAGGTGGAGCTGGGTGGTTATTGGAAGTGTGTGATCCGGCACATGCTGATGGCAGTACGGTGCGAGTGCATGCAGGATTTTGCGAGGCGGAGATAGCGCAGGCATGGCTTACGATGGGTTCTCCGGCGGAGCCGATGACCTGAGTGGGTACAGCGGGTTCGACGATTCGGCGCGGTTTGACAGCTCGAGGTTGGAGTCTGCGCGATTCGACAGTTCGTTCCGAGCAGCGGACGATTACAAGCCGGATCCGTTCGGGCTGGATGACAACAGGGAAGGGTTCGATGAGTTCAAGGGCGCTTCGGACGGGTACGGTCACCCGGCTCCAATATACGAGAACGAGGAGTCGGGCGGTGGTATGCCCAGCACGTATGGGGCAGGGTATGCAGGTGCGGAGTATGCGTCGAATCCGACGGATGAGGGAAGCTACCACAAGGAGCTAGACGAGGATTTGTTTGGTGGAGACGGTGGCGGCGGTCCAATGCTGCCCCCGCCCGAGGAGATGCAGGAGGAAGGCGCCGTGCTTCGGCAGTGGAAGAGGTGAATTACACATGCAGCCCTGAGCTCTTGAATGGTAGAGGGCGGACGCGTCAATTGTGAGGAGTGGGGGTGGGTGGATGCTCACCGTTTGGGTTTGGATTGGTTGATGTGACATCAGGGAGAACGCGCAGCGACTGCAAGAGAAGGAGCGTGAGGAGAAGGAGAAGCTGCAGCAGATCATCGACGACGCTGACGACTACAAGGCGAAGCACAAGGCGAAGCGTGAGGCGAACCGGGAGGCGAGGATGAAGGAGAATCGCGACAAGGAAACGGTACGTGAGTTTGTAGTCGGAACGTCATGCACTGGGTGAACGCCAGGAGGTCGGGGAGGTGGGAGTAGGTGTAGTTGTGTGGGGAGGGGTGGACGGGTTGATGGCTTGTCTGGAATGGCGCGGCGGCAAGGGTGTTGTGGATGGGGAGCCGTTGATGTGGTGTGCGCTTGGCTGACGCGTCCCGTGTGGTGGGTTGCTCAGGTGTACCACGCCGACCAGGAGCACTTCCACAAGACAGCCGGCAAGCAGTACTGGAAGGCTGTGACGGAGCTGGTGCCAAAGGAGCTGCCAGCTTCTCTGGAGCCCAAGAGCCGGCAGATGAAGGAGAAGAAGGAGAAGAAGTCGACATTCGTGGCACTTCCGGGGCCGAAGCCGGGCAAGCCCACGGACTTGGGGCGGTTCAGGCAGGTTCTTCTGAAGCTGAAGCACAACCCTCCCGCGCACATGATTCCTCCTCCTCCAGCAGCGCCGAAGCCAGAGGCCAAGGAGGGTGAGAAGGGGGCGAAGGGTGAGGCGGGGAAGGAGGGAGGGAAAGGGAAGGAGAATGCTCCAGGTGCCCCCGGAGCAGCGGTGGAGGGTGCGGAGGTGCCGGAAGCTCCTGCGACGCCTGAGCAGGAAACAGAGCCGGTGCTAGTTGGCGCAGCGTGAGGGTTTTGAGGTGGTCTGGTGTGACTGTTATTCGGCAGGCTCGAGTAGAGACGAAGGGTAGGGCTGTGCAGGTAGTGGAAGTTGAAGCATGACGTAGGTGGGTACTGCAGCATTGGAGAGATTAGTTTTAGGTTTTTGCTAGTTGGCACACTATGCGAATGGACTGGAAGTGATGCACCCTTCGTCAGGGAGCTTCAGGTGCAAGCTTGCGGAAGTGCGCACATTGTTGTATATTCATTTTTTTCGTTGATGTTAGCGTGATGTTCGTGGGAGTAGCGGTTGCTACTTTGGAATCAGCGGGAGCCTGAGATCGTGGAGAGTTGTGAACATGGTTGGGTGGTTGGCATTGTCGTGGTCCAGTCCAGAACCCTTTTTCGTGCTGCCGGAAAGAGGCGGAGCTTCTGGTACATGAAATGGTTTTGTGGTGAGCAGTGGGTAAAACGATAAGTGACATGTCGGGGTCTGGCAGTGCTTGCGGTCAGTTTAGGAAGTCGATGCCGAAGGCGTCATCATGTCAACGATTAGGAGGGTGGCTTAAGGAACGAGGCGTTTTTTGCGGTGTTGAACCTTGAGCGCGAGTTGGTGCACGCACCAGAGACGGGGCAAAGTTGTTGTGCATGCAAATGTCGCGACGAACAGCGTGAGCATTTTATTACCGGGGGTGGAGAGTTGTGGAATAGTAGTCCACCACCCAGTGATCTGTCACAACAGCCAAAAGCTCAACAGCATTCGGCGGGGCCTGCTCAGCAGACCTTGCACCTCTACAGCTTCCTCCTCCTCCTCCACCACTCCATACCCTAGGCTCTTGTACAACGCCAAGGCGCCGCTGTTATCCTCCTCCACATGCACGAATAGCACTTGAAGCTCCATTTGCTTGGCTACCTGCAGCGTGGCAAAACGACAAGCCAGGGTTGGTGTACACGTTCTTGATGATGAGCGAACATGCAAAGGAACTTGGTCGAACGCAGCGTCGAAACACGGCACGACATTTTCTCTTATTAAAACGACGAGCAGCAGCTAGCAACAAGTGACCGACGCGCAACTGCGCATTTTGCGAATCAGATGCAGTCGTGCGGCCAGAGAGCCTGGGTTCGTGTTTCCTGGTGCAGCCACCCGCTTCGAGCGTGATGGGCACGGAATTCGGTCCACATCAGTCGGCCGTTGCGAATTCTCACAGGACCACAAAGCCCCTGGCGGGCTCCGAGTTCTCGATCCATTGCACGCGGAAAGTGGATAGTGAGGATTTGCCATACATACCTTGAGAGCTGCCACCATGAGAGCCTTTCCAACCCCCATCCTTCTGGCCGCCGCAATGACACCAAGGTTGAAAATGTACGCTTGGTCGAACGTGTCCTCATGTTCCACCGGGAAATAATCCGTTCCGCTATTCCTGCCCTTCTGGACCTGCGCCAACACCCACAGCCGCGCATCCTCTGTCAAAACAAGCCGTTCCTATTCAGCTCCACAATCCACCCGAGTACTTCGCACTGATACCCCTCACCACAATTACCAGAAAGTCCGGCTGGGTGATTTGTGCCGGCGGTGCACATCGGACGGAGGAAGCTGCACTGCAGATTGCCTGCCACTCCCTCAAACGCCCACTGCCTTCGCAAATCCGACCCTCCGAAGAACCAAAAACACACAATCCCCGACTGCCTAATGCAAGCTTACCGACTACAACAATCGCGCAGCGACGAGGTGCGTCAACCGCGGACACTGCAAATCATGGAGGCTCTCTATCTGAATCACGACTGCCCGAAAAGGACGCAGAGTATACTCTGGCTTTGGAAGCAAACTTGGTGTTGCAAGCCATGAGATTGCTAGCTTTGACACCCACCCGATTCTTCCGTTGCTGGGCTCTATGTGCCACAGCATGGAGCTGGAAGGTGACAAGGTTGACATCTGCAGTGGCCTTGGTTCCTGTTCCATCCTTCCAGTCATCCCACCCCCTCTCAGCCATCGGTTCATCGCTTTCCTCTGCTCGTACCTCTCTTATTTGCGAATGCATAACGACGTCAGTTCGTGATGGACTCTGCAATGCGGCCATTCGGGGCACATTGCCTCACGCACAGCTCGGGAACGGAGCTTCACAAGACCAGGGGAGGGGATGTGCCTTACCTGTACGTCAAGGGTGCCGATTGCAACCAGTGCTCCCGTGGAGCTGCTGTCGATCGAAGGTACA